TGTAGCGCTCAAGCGTGATTCAATGAGTTCTGAATCAGAAGCCCTATTTCAAATGACTAACACTTTAAATGATATACACAAAAAATCTCAAGAATATAACAAATTAAAATCTGAGTTAAAAGAAAGTGTTTCCGGTATTCAAAATATGTTAAATAGTCGAACTGAATGGCTTCGATTGAAAAATAATAAATTTAAATGCTATTCCTTAGCAAGTAAGGAAGACATTACTGAAATATTTGAAGTAAATTCAATATTTACATATTTTTATCTTTTATCATTTAATATTATAAGATGATTAATTTTTAAACAGTCAATTTTTAGGATAGATCCAACTTTAAAAATCGAAGAAACTACACAAACACAGATATGTTGCCATCCAGAATTAGTCAAGTTTATAGATACACATTGTCAAACACGTGCTTATAGCTTTCAGGTATATATTAACAATAGATCTAATAGATAGTAATTTGTTATGTTAAAATTATAAATAATAATTGCTTATTATGGCTTGTATTTTACCCGATTTCAAATGCGATTGTAATAGCAAAGTTATTTTTACTTTAGCTAAGATGAGTATAGAAGTGTCAAATTGTAGGGATGGTAATCGCAAAATTTAGCAAATAATGATGAGTAATTAGTCATCATGTAATCGATCATCTCTACAAAATAATGTATATAAGTAATTTTTGGCAAAAAATATTTTTTTTAATCACAATTGAAATTAAGTAGAATGCATGCCTAGATATGTACCTCACAAAATATAATGATATTATCTTTGTGCAAATTATTATATTATACCTCGTGCAAAGTAGATATTTAATTTAAAATGTGGCAATTTATATTAAAATCTATGGATCACGCTGAAATCAGAATTTTGATTTGGATAATACTATCTTGCACTTCGCGCAAAGTTATATAATTTGCGATATGAGGCGGCCCCAAAGTGCCAGTTACATGAGCCGCAGCAGCCGCAGCTAAATGATTTTTCACCAATCATGCTACATCGTATGAATGATGATATTTATTTTATATTATATGCTGCGGCTGCGGCTTGTATAACTGCGATTCTGCGGGATATACGCTAGTTTTGTTTTGCACAAGGTACATCACTATGCATGGCATAATAAGCTTTGAAACCCAGAATTCTAACCGTAGAGATTTTGAATAAAATATTTATATCTTAATTTTAAAAGATAAAGAAATGTAATAATTTTTCTTGCTTATATTGTAAGCCAATCCGTCTTCCATCATATGAATTTTGTAATTTAAGTTTTCTTCTAGATCCAATTCCTTCAAAAGGTAATTATATTACTTTTTAAGATTAATTTATATCGAATATAATTATATATGCTAACAAATTTTAAATTAGAAAATGCAGATCACTATGCAACCTTCCAGCAGGTATATGGTACTAAAACTACAGAAGAATATAGGCCAACATATATACAGTCACAAGCAACTTCAGAACCTGCTCCAAAAAATATTTTAATTTCTGAAAAAATTCGTGATTATATTAATTGTGAAAATTGCCAAAAGTGTCGTTGTATATACAGTAACAAATCTTTAACTGATGAAGAACTATGTGATTATCAACAGGCATTAGATGCATATTCATATT